GACAGGAACAGCTGTGTGCCAGGTGCAGGGCAGCCCTCACTGTGCACAGCTGCTGACCAGAAGGGGCAGGACACTCTCACGTCCCTCCTCCCACTGACGTCTGTTGCCTTGGTCAGCATGTGTGACACAGATAGTAAGAGGAGCGAGTGCATTTAGTTGTAAGATGACAGGATGCCACTGGATGCGACACTCGCTAGGCCAGGACTGCTCTGCAACTGTGAATAGGTTAGGGTGGGCACCACTGAGAAATGGCGGTTTCTGCCAAGTCCTGATGAGGTGAGGCTATGGTTCTAGTAACTTAGAGAACAGCCCTGCACAGCTGGGTGGTGTCTCTCAGACCGGGAACAATGTTGGTGTGTGACCCAGAGGCAGCAGGAGGCCGGACCAGAGGCCCAGGCAGCCTTCCAAGAAGGGACAGGAGGGGCAGGGGTGTTCTACCATAAGCAGCAACAGAGCAGGCCCAAAATCAGCTGGGAGCAGGGCGTTCTGGTTGGTGTGCAGGGAAGCAGGCGGATTCTGAGCGTGGTGGCTCTGGTGCCAGAGCCAGGATCCACCTTTCGTGCACCCCAGAGGGCGTGCTAGCAGACCACATGGAGGCGAGCACTGGGAGGCGAGCACCAGGCCTCCAGCTATCCGCAGAGCCTGCTAAGTCTGGAAGGGAGGGGGACTTTGGGGACACAGCCCGAATGAGGATGAGGGCAAGGCTCAGCTGTGGCAGACAACCCACAAGAAACACTGGACAGGAACTGGACACAGCAGCCTAGCAGTCAGGAGAGGAGCTCAAGGTAGAGTGACCACCTGGAAAAAACGTGCAAGCCCAAGACAGAACGCTCCCCATTCCTTGGGAGGGCAGGCCTGCCGCCTGTAATCACCTTCCCTGGACTGCGCTGTGCGCAGGAATACTCACACAGCCATGTCCGCAGCTGTGTTCACCTAGCTCACCATCTGCCAGGTACCCTTTCACAAATACTCCCTCCGAGGAAGACAGGACACAGCAGAACCGAAGATGTCCTGCGTGTGCTGAGTGACAGTGAAGAGGGCACTGTGGGAGCAGCTCTCAGCTTTCCCAGGCTGTGCCACATGCCCGAGGCAAGCTGGGAGCAGCCCCACAAGTGAGCGGAGCTGGAGCCTCGGCTCTCCTCAGGCGGTGCAGCAGGCAGCACTGTGGACAGCAGCCATGGATGGCCTCCACCTCAGGCTGCACAAGGCTCTTCCCCTGTATGAATGGCCCCTTGGTCCTGCCAGTCCCCGCGGGCCTCAGCTTCTGGGTGGGCAGGACCTGCACTCCTCCATGTGGATGGGCTATTGGAGACCAGGCATCCTCTGGCTGACAGGGCCTTCCCTGTGCTGGCCTTGCAGGAATGTCACCCTGAGGCTGGGGCTTCTGTGCACAGGAAGAGAAGGAAAGCCAGTGCACAAAGAGAACATGCAGACTGGTTAGAACTGAACTTTAGCAACAAAGCTAGATCTTTATCATTGAGGTATAGATAAGCCTTCAGAAAAAGTCTAAATTTGGTTGAATTATGCAAGCGATTTAAAAATGTTAAGATTTCAATACACTGAATAAATTTTAGTGTACCACATACACACTGAAAATTAATCTTTCATAATGTAATTTAACTATTTTATATAGTAATAAAATCTAAACTGTACTAAGATTCCTCTCACAAAGAAAATTAAGGATAGCCTTTATTATGTTTAAACAATTTACATTACTAAAATTATTTCAATGAGTCCACCGGACTAGAAGAAAACATCTGGACAAGCTGATTCAAAGGTCACTTTCTGCACCTCCTTTGCCTGCCTGCAATCCGGCGCTTAGCTTGTAGCTCCCTTGCTTCCGTGACACTCACCTCGAAATCCTTGTGAGAGGAAGCTGTGCTGATGGCAAGCACGTCTTAGTTCTGAAGCCACCGCAAACGACCCCACTGCAAACGACCCCAGCGCAGTGGAGGTGCCTGTGCTTCTCCAGAGACTGAGGGGCTGGCCTGACTGTGGCTGCGATGGGAGATCCACAGGGCTCTGACGGTCCCGTGGGATCTTCCGTGTCTGTGCTGGGAAGTCGAAACTCCTGCAAGCCAGTGCCAGCGGACATCCTTGGTCAGCCCCGGAAGATGCCTGGCTCTCCGCTAGCCCAACCACATGGAGGAGTGTGGGGCCCGCCTGCCTGGAAGTCTAGGCCCACGGGGACGGGCAGGGCCAGGGAGCCATCCAGAGAGCTCAGCGAAGAGCCTCGCCCAGCCTGAAGGGGAGGCCAGACACCCTCCCTCTCCTGTGTTTGTTCCAGAAGGGCATTGGTGTCAACTGAAGGGGCTCCAGCGACCAAGCGTCAGATTCGGGAGCACAGCAAGGCAGTCCTCACACAAAGGCAAGCTGTGGCAGCAGTTTTATTTTCTTTAAGTAGAGAAGTGCTTACCTAGTACTTTTTTTCTGCCAATAATTATGTCTGCTTACGACATCTAGATTTGTACTTATTTTGGTCTGGGTGAGCGCCGCTGGCTGATCAGAGCCCAGGGCACCTACAGGGACATGGCAGGGAATAAAGTGCAAGAGAACATTCCAGGTACAGGGGCTCAGGGGAACCTGCCTCTGTGGACAGGCACAGCAATCTCCCCAGTTGTCCCCTTTCTTAGCAAGCCAGGAGCACGGGAGAAGGCTCTTCCTGGACGGTGTCCGTCATAGGCGGGGAGCAGTCAATGGGGAACAGGCCCTTCCCACAAACTTGTGTTCTTCAGGTTGTCCTCAGCAGGTGCTATCTTTGTAAAAATCTTTTTTATTTATTTGGTACAGGGTCTTACTATGTGGCTCAGACTGGTAGTGATCCCCCTGTGTCAGCTTCCCCGTGCCTGTGCTGGTGGCTGGCCCAGTGAGGGGCTGGCACGGCACGCAGTACCAGGGATCACACCTGGGTCCTTGTGCTGGCCAGGCAGGTGCTCAGACTGCCAGTCTACCTCCCTGGCCCCAGCAGGAGCTATCTGGCTTAGCAGCTCTGGTTCCAAGCTTTCTCTGTGCATCCAGGAAGCATGGGCCTTCCCCACACGTCTCTGTTCCTAAAGCAGGTCACCCTGGCTGTGAGACCATGGGGATCCCAGGCACACAGCCGGGATGCCAGCCAGGTATCCTGGTCCCCAGCACAGGAGAATATAACTTCATATCCCCTGGCTCCCCATGAATAGGCACCTTAGGCTCTAATTTTGCCAGGTGATCCTGGAAGGAAGCATAAAGTGGAAGACAGGATGGGCGGTTAGCATCAGTGCGGACCGTGATGGGCACAGGTAACGGGCTGAGTGGAGGAAGGCCCCGGCAGCCACGCTGGAGCCAAGGAGGAGACGCAGTGAGCGCTGTGCATTAGAATACGAGTTACTCCATGCTCTGAGGACACAGGCTACTGCAACTCTCGTTGAAAATGAAACCTCTAGAATCAAAACTCACAATAAAAAATACATTTAAAATGATGCTAGCAGTATGGATCAAAATACCCTAATGAGAAGCCAACAGGGTTAGGCTCTGTCTGCCCACTCCTACAAAAGATAGCAAGTTGCAAAGATGCAATTCCTAAGGAAGAGACTTAAAAGTTTGCCACTGAGAAGTATCAGTTTCACATTGTGGCCCAGTTTTGAAATATACTCATCTACATAATCAGACAAACCTGGCCGAAATTTAATGGGTCAAAACCTCACATCCTTTCTTTTTCCTTTCGTTGTAGTAAGAATATTAAGACTTGGGAAAGAATACTGAAAGAGTAGGAATTATTTAGAATCATACTACAGTGGGAAATTATTAAACTTAACCATAGAAGGGAGAAATGAATTGAACTACAGACCTCATGTTTTAGAATAAGGTTAACTGAATATACAATAAAAATTTTATAATGACTGCTTATGTGTTTATTAGCTGTTTAAGGTACTTCAAAACTTTAGGAGATTCATGTCTGCTAAATTAATACCCACCATTTAAAATTTCCCAGAGAATTTACTTAGCCAATTTTGAAACTAATGTTTTAGTGTTCATGAAAAATCAGGTTTCTAAGTTGTATTTTTTCTGCATTTCATGAAATGAACATTAAACAAAGTATCTGTAATTTTGAGTAATCTTTATGTCTTAAAGTCCTTAAGACAAGGAATTAACTATGGTATAAAAGCATAATTCAAAAGAGAAAAATCTATAATAATGACTCCTGCTAGAATCCAAAGGAAGAAGTGATTTATTTGGCACCAGGAATCAAACACAGGCGCCTGTGCTGCTGAGCTGCATCCCTGGCCCAAGAAGTGATTTTAAAAGCACACACAAACACAGAGCATGTGTTACCTATTCCTTCCAAGCATGCTCATCTGCCTTATTTTAAAAACCAATGAATCATAGCTTAGCACAACCGCCTGGGTTATGGGGAATGCTACATGATTCGACGGTACACTCTTCCCACCACACCACTGCAGCTGAGGGAGGCACAGGGCCCGGGGGGGGGGGGGGCACAAAGCGTCGGCTCAAGGAGAGGCAAATGCAAAGCTCATGCTTCAAAAAGGCTGCCCTGTGACCAATCACAGACTCTGAATAAACTGCAGGGTTGTAAGGAAGCCCCTCAAAAGCTAAAAGGATAAACACAAAAGTGGTACCCGAAAAACCATGATCTGGGCAAACCATTCCAAATGGTAATATTCAGCATCCTTAGCACAGCCAGGGTGAAAGTACAAAAGGGAAAATGAGGAGCACTCATCTGCCCTGTGGGACTTAAGAGTGCTGCCTCCCTGGCACTTGCTTCTTCTAGACGAAGGGAAGGAGGGACTTAGGAGAAACCCTTAAGAAAGAAAAAGAGAGAGAGAGAGAGAGAGAGAGAGAGAGAGAGAGAGAGAGAGAGAGAGAG